TACAGTTAATTAAGATGAACTCTAAGAGTTAACTATTCCACCTGGGATTGCTTCCTGCAATGCCACACACTTGACGCACATTCATAATGTTGTGGTTGCCAACTCATCCCAATCTGCCAGCAAGGCATTGTGACCAATTACAAACTGATCAGACAGATACATATACAAATCAATGGTGGGTTTGGTGCAGAATGAAAGCAGGAACAAGTAAAGTTGATGCTCTCCAGAGATTTTACCAGTCTGCATATGAATACCTTCCCCATATGTCAAAAGCTTTTCTCTCTTTGCTGACTAGCGTGGCAGCAGCATCTGCAAAACCTTCCACATAAGGACACAAGGTTTTAAGTTGCTTTGCTGTGCATTTCTGGTGATAAGCCTGAAGTTTTGGTTTGACATAGCTCTTGGGGCTCCAAAAATAATATATGACTTTTTTTTTTGGTAGAACAGCACCCTTTGCAAAAAATATTCTTGTTGATTGTGCAGAAAGGCATGAACTTTTCTGTAAATATTTTAGATTATCTACACTATAATCCCTTCACATAAGAATGAGAGCATGTGCCAGGATTGTCTACAAGAAAAGTAGGTCATAAATACAAAAGCTATTTCCACATTACAATCAAGGTGTGTGTGTCTTCTGCTTATGTACACATCCTTGTGGTAGCTCAGTGAAAGTTAGTATGAATATAAATAGTACTGTAGCTGTGGTAACTCAGGTGAGAGGCAATAAAGGCACAGCTGAGGAATACCAAGTATATATCCACTGGCTTTACATGGGTTTACACTTGGCCTGGCTTATCCATGCCTCCACTGGTGCTGTAGCTACACTGCTATTTACAGACATATTGGCCCTTATCAAGCTATTGGAAGAATGTGTACTAGAACAGGGGAATCACACCTCTTGTTCACAGTGTACATTTAGCCACCACCATCAGTACAAACACATATCAGATACTAATAACATAAATATGCCATCATCTAAAACAATCATACATGTTAGCCAAATGTAGAAACAAGGGAGAAGGCCATTGAACTCCAATGATTGTATGATGAAGCAGCACTCAGAGGAGGCTAATGAATGGAGGATGCAGAAGTATGGTGAATCAAGTCATCGGACTCTTAAAACACAAGTAAGGAGGCTTTAGACTGGGTCTTAAAATGAACGAGGAGTTAGCAGAGTATCATTATACAGCAATGCCAGTCTGACAAGTGTGAACTCTGGATTTTAGACCCAGCTACCATAAATGAGAAAAGGGGCAGAAGCAAATTCTAGAGCACTAAATATATAAGAAAAATATACTTATACTTTTAGGTCCTAAAAGAATTGAAATAAGCTATTAAAACTTCAGAATAATGTAGCTCCTCACGACTGAAAATGTTCCCGAAGCTAGGACAAGACGTTGGTCAGATTAATCAAAATCTTCTAGGCAGGCGTGGCTGTTTGCCAGGCTTCCAGGCTAAACTCAGTCTTTCAAGGATAGCATCAATATCTCTTTAAACCTGGCTTCTAGGCTAACTTTAATCCCAGGCTGACTAAATCTTCCAACGTTGGAGGAGTCCTGTAGCTAAACTAACTCTCATGACAGACTAGTTTTTCCAAAGCTTAGGCTTGCATGATAGCTCTTGATCTTGGCTCCCATTAAACCACTCAACCAATCAAAAACTTAGCCCAAATGTTGAGCTGCAGTGCAATAAAAGCATTTGTGGTTTTATTTGGACTTTTATTGCCACTAAAGAAACTGAACTTAGAGTGTCCCAGTTGCAGGGTGAGCCATGCGAAACTCCAGGAGAGAGAAAACCCACATGATGGGGAGTTGAAGCATGGAGTTCCTGCAATATCACATTCAGCCAGAAGGGGGCTTGCACATGCCCATTATTTGAAAAAAATGAAAAGTCCATTTCATACAAAACCACCTTTCATATTCACTGTCACTTAAACATAAAGGTTTTTGTCATTCCCAGATACATATGTAGGATTTCAGATGGGATTGTACTCAGTGTGGCTAGCCCATCCTGTCATATATGGAGCCTCAGCTACACACAGCTATTTTTAGCACATTAGCGCAATCAGAACTAGCGCAGGTATGTCTATCCATACTTGAAATTATACCTCCAGTTCCACTGTAGACATATCCATAGAGCTACAGGAACAAGAGATAGTTATGAGGTTACCCAATCAGTACAGAGAACAGTTATTAAAGACATAAAAGAAGTGCATAGATAAGCGTCTACAATATACAAAAAAGTTAAGGTTAAAGGTGCAGCTCTGATGGCAGAGAGATGAAGTAGAAAAGACATTAATCATAACCATACAGGACTTTCAGCAATCTGTGGGAGCACTTTTAAGTAATGTTGCCTGTTCCAGAATAAAAGCGACACCCATTTTACAATAATGCCACATTTCGCTAAGCTCATTTCAACCTAAAGTTTTCTGAAGAATAAGATATAGCATAGTTAACCTGATCTGCAATTTACATAAGAAAGTGAAACTAAACAAAAACATGATCAAAATGGCTGGGCTAATAAGCCCCAATTTACTAATCCACCACACACTGTCAAAATACAGAGGAAAGATTTATAAATCAAGTTTTATGCTTAGGATGTTATTGGCACAGTTTATAAGTGTATGCACAATTTGTAACTGATGCAGCAACAGAAGATATATTGTAAAACTTTGAGCATATGTTGTATCTTGTCCTCCCTGGTTATGTGCCAAAGAAACCTTTGCTTCCCTGAGGCTGAAAATGGGACCTCAACATTGTTGACTCAGTTTTCCACTACTGTAAATCACTGTAGTTCCAGATATCAAAGTTCATTTTCAAAGCCAACAAAATTAAGTCCATTTATATCCATTTAGGATCTGTCCCTTCAGCTGGTTTAATGAGAGGTTTGAATATTTATTCATCTTCTTTCTATCATTATCATTTAAAATCCTCTTCCCTTCAATACACATTTCTGATACCAGTAAAATTTATGGAATTCTGATTTTTCATTTGGAAATTTCTCATACTCATGATAGATTCAGGAAACACCACCAAAAATTTTGAGAAAAATAAAAAATTCAGTGATTTTACAATTGCACAATATCTTTCAATAGACATATGCATACAGAAATGAGTTGTACAGTATGGACATGCATTCACTTGAAAAATCTAGTCGGAGGAATAATTTCAGAGTGTAACTTTGTAATGAGACCCCGGTGGAAATATCTGTACTTTTTGTTCCCATCTGCAAAGCTATGTAATTGATTAATGACTGACATGTTAATGCTGCCTTTTACTGTCAAAGTCTCTTTGGAAATATATTAAAGTATACAGTGTTCACCCCGACATAACCTCTTTATATTGGAAAACAGGACTCTGACATGGCTCATATTTCAGGCAAAGGGCCACAATAGACTCTCCAGTATCAAAGTGTTCATGAATATTAATGAAAAATAAAGCACAGCTATCTGACGCTATATGAAGAATAGAGTGGGAAAGTACTGCCTTTAATAAGAAATTGATTCAAATATTCTCCATATCTTCTAAGCACTCTTGTGTTTATTTAGAAATCACAATATATTTGTACAATATTTGCAATATTGTACGAGTTTTTAAAAACTTAACATAGGTAAGTGTTTTCAAAGAAAGGGATTTTGTCGGTTTGGTGTTCATCAAAAATACAGAGATCCATAATTAGCTTGACTCTGCATGGCCTTTCCACCCCCTCCATCCCACACACTCTCTACGTCAGTGGTCTGCAACCTTTTTAAGCATGAGATCACTTTTAGAATGTAAGTGCGATTCAGGATCTACCTCAAACTCAAACACTCTTGCCCCACCTCCTTCCTGCCCATTCTCCGGGGCCCTACCACTGCTCACTCCATCCTCCCTTCCCCATCCTCCCTCACCTTTAACCAGGCTAGGGATGCAGGGGAGCAAAGTGTAGACTCTAATTTTGGGCTAAAGGGTTTGTAGTGTGGGAGGGATTCTGAGCTGAGCCTGGGGCAAGGAGCTGAGGTGCAGAAAAGGGTTCAGGGTGAAGGCTCTGGGAAGGGGGACTCAGGGCTAGGGCAGGAATTTGGGGTGCAGAAGGAGTTCAGGACTGTGGCCGGGGTTTGGAATGCAAGCTCCAGCTGTGCATTACTTATCACAAGTAGCTTCTGGGTGGTAGTGCAGAGGACTAAGGCAGGTTTAACCCTGTACCATTCCCCAAAACAGCCAGCAATCACTCTCCATCTTTGCCCCCCCTCGCTCTGTGGAGATGGGGTACAGTGTGGGGGAAGGAGCACTCTGACATCAGCACTCCCCCCTTTCTTCTTCCTGAGCCCTGCACAGGGAGCAAGAGGCTCCCTGGGCTGGGAGGCAGCACCAAGGCAGAGGGCAGGAGCAGCATGGCAGTGCTGAGAGGGGCAAATGAAGTGCTGGCACTTGATAGTCTTCTGGCCAAACCAGTGAGGATCACCTGTCAAAGGCTCCAAGATCTACCAGTAGATCCCAATCTACATGCACAACAATCAGAAGAAAATATTCTGATTCTGGTCTATGCTGTGTCTGCTTTGTGCCACAGCACTGTGAAAAAGTGGCAATGTGTCTGAAATCTCCTGTACTGGAATAGACTATTGCACAGTGACTTTGATCCCAGATGTCCACTTTGATCCATTTAAGGGAGTTCCACAAGGAAAAGGAGGCCTGGCTAAAGGTCTCCACTGATATGTTCTTGCTGATGTATGTGCTTTTGGTATCTTTAGACACCTGTGAAAGTTAAAGCAGCTTTAATACCCTAAAATCTTGAACTGAGCCATCCATAATTTGGCCATAGCCAAGGAACCTGTATGCTTATGTGGCAATGAATATGAAAGAAGGTTCTGTGGAAAGGGAACTTTTTGTTCCTCAAATAATGGGCTGAAGCTGAAATTCACTGCAAGCTGAAATTCACTGCACTGAGATAGCATAAACAAACTAAAAATACATCCTTATAAATTATGACACTGTTGCTTCACTTCAAAGAGCAAACTGTACCTTAGTCTTATCATATAAGGCATGGTTATCCAACATCATCTTCCTTTCATGAGTGGCATATCTTCGTAGGTCACGCTCAAATTGCTGTACAAAACATAAGTTGCATCAGCGGTCAGCAACCTTTCAGAACTGGTGTGCCAAGATTTAACTTATACACTTGTATTTATGGGTCAGCATGCCGGTGATACTTTTTAAAGTCAATAATAGTCCTACTTACAGCAGCTTCATTAATAATCAATTAAGATGCAGATCTTACCATTTAATGTGATTTCTGGCCTTCTTTGCCTTGCTGAGTTCTCCGACCTCAGTCTTGTAGTTTGACACTTTATGCAGCACTCAAGCCTCTGAGTCAGAGTTCGGCAACCTATGGCACACCAGAGCCGGCACCCGAGAAGCCAAC